GTACCATGTCGCTTCAGAGGCCTGGGGAGAACACTTATGTAAAATATTTTTCTCAGTCCCCAAACACAAAGCACTAAACAAATTCACAAGAAACCCACTGAAATGATTCTTGAACTAGTGCTAAGTTGTACTCATCTGAAGACCACATTTGACTGTTGCATGAACTGAATTCACCCCGTAAAATACATCAGACATCGAAATATTTCACATAATTCCAAAAACGCTTTATGAATTGGTCATAGAGAGAAACTCAAGTATTTCACAAGAAACATAAGCTATCAGACAAATATTTCTACACAGTATTAGGACTATAGCCACAGACATAACTTACTTTATAGGACTGGGACTCTTGCTCTTGCTTTTTTTCTTCTCTTGTCTATCATGTCTGTCATATTTTCCACGAACAGGACTGTAACTTTTCCTTTTCCTTCTGTCTGGACTTCTGTCAGGACTTCTACGATAACGATCCCTATAACTACCACCATAACGCCTATCCCTATCTCTGCTGCGGCTGCGACTTCGTCTGTGGCGACTTCTGCTGCGGCTACGTCTATGACGACTTTTGCTGCGACTGTTACTTCTACTTCTTCGCCTAAAATACAATTTACAAAAAAAGTATACTACTTTGCTTCACATGCATACATGCAAGAATACTTCCTGAACTTTTTGTTTGCAAATGATATTAAAATTGTAAATTCAAAACATACCTGTATCTGTGATCCCTTCCACGGCTACGACTGCGACTCCTCCGCCGGCTCCTACAAAAACATAACACTTAAGATTAAAACAAGAACTTAAACAAAAAACATCAGTGTTAATAAAATTCACTAAGTGATTCTATGATGAAATTAAATTAAAATCTAAACACAAGTTGGAGTCCCATTATAAAGTACTTGCCTCGCAACATTTTTCGAATGGCATATTCTCCTACACAAAATTAAAGTGTGTAAAAATACCATTCAAAGGCATCTCTGCCACAGACACATTGAAAAACATACCTGAGTTTGTAGCGGCTTTCACTTATAATATATTGACATGACAAAGGAAGCTTGAAGTGCTCAAATACTGAGTAAGCCAGACATTGACTGCAACCTATTTGCAACAGTCATATATAGGGATTGTTAAGCAGACTGAATAAATTGGATACAAAGATTGGATGACATCCACGTAACGACTGCCATCATTGTGTTGCTCAGTAAATTTACATTGCTATAAATTCAGCATTGTCCACACCAGCAGATTCTGTGTCAAACTTTGTCCCCAAACAGGTGAACCTGAGCAGCATGTGAACAACACCAAATATATAACAAGTCTGAACAAAAAATAAAAATAAAGATACTTACGATTTTTTACTGTTCCTGCTTTCTGAAACTTCCTTTTCGTCGTGGTCCTATCAGGGTCCAAACAAAACAGCAATGTCAAGATGACAATACAGGCAGTACACAGGTTGGCAAGGAAGGGATGGATAGGAAGGGAAAAATAAAAAAAAGAAAACAGAAGATATCTGTCAGCTCATTTTGACTTTTAGAAGTGTCTTAATACTGTTTTGGTTTACACAAACCTGTTTATTCTTCTTCACAGCATTACTTTCTGTACTATGTGATGGATGCACAAATATCGCTCATAATTTCCTAATTTGTACTTGATTGCCCCTTCCCCCTTCTCCTTCAAGTACACTCAAACCAGATACAAACACATTTTACTTCTAGTACTCCATATTGTCAATAGGAGTTTTAAAATGCACAATACATGAAACAGTACAAATTAGGAGAATTATGTTCAATTTTGAGTTATGTATGAAGTGGGTGAGGCAGTTATTGCACAGGCAAAATAATTAATAATACAAGTCAAATCAATTGAGAACTGTTGATGGAACAAGACGCCCTTTGGTTATTCAATTGAATGGAGAGAGTTGGTTTCAAAAGAATAAGTCTTGTAGTTGTGGTGCTGAAATCCATGTAAAAGCTTCTGGTCACCTTCTCCTGTGTTCTTCAGTCAGGGTCGTGTATTGACTGGTACCACTACACAATCATTCTTTCATGCCCTGGGATGATGAGAGTGGGAGGGTATTTTTTAGTTTCAAACAATGAATTTGGTGCTCAACATCTCCTAACTAACTTCTATTGAGTTTCCGAATAATAATCTAAGAGCTAGTAAACTGCCATAGGCAGGGGATCCTGCCATGCATCTTAAAATGATTTACACATGCCAATATAACATCTCTCATCTCTAAGCATTTGTGGAGATTCCAGTGAAATAATTATACACTATCTTGTATGTGAAACAGTTCTACTGTAATATGGAATTAGGCAAAAAAAATGACTAAAAGTTGAATCTCATTTTACTCCCTAGGTAAAAGATCATGCCATGCTGCTCTCACATTTCAGTAACTCATTGAAATGTTTTGCTGGTATTTCAAATCGCCAGCTACATGTCTGATACTTCATACTGATCGATCTCTATTTCAATCATCAGTTGAGCACAAAATACAAATATCCCAAAATGACTACCTCTTTGAGCCTTCAGCACTGCTATGCTGTAAGTCAATGGGTTCTATAAAAAATCAAATGGGCAATAGACAGTCAGAAGATGGTCATAAATATGTTTGGTTTGTTGAACAGGCAGGCTGTCGTATTTAAAGTGTTTAGGATGAATTGCACACATTCAGATATTTGATAAGCCATACAGTTCTTTAAGTAGGCTGGCTTCAGAAGGGATAGTTTGTTATGCGATAATTTAATTAAGTGAATAGTTTTTTTTAAAATTGATGGAGAGATCACAAAAGTAAAGTCCACTGCTCCCTTGTTGACAAATTTGCTTTGCATTTCATCTTGAAAATATTCTGACTTCATTATAACAGGGTATACATAGCGATAACTTTTCTCCTGACTTAAAGCATTTTATTAAGCGTATTATTGATTGTTTAATAATGGTTCACCTGCAAAATTTACCCAAGCCTGCAGCTGCATGCTAATTTGCATTAAAATGTTATCATTTTGTGATCACTCCACCTATTTCATCAAACTTATTTCTATTTATTTAATGGTTTACAAAAAATCTAACCTGACTGGAGCCAGCCTATTCATTTAATTATGTTGCATAATGTATTGATATTAATGAGAAACTGGCAGAACAACAATGAACCAAGTGATACCAGGCTTTCTCCCTGGTAAAGGGCACAGATGGTACGTACCAGTAAAATGCAATACTTACGACTCGCAATAAAATGAAACTTCAATTATTCCCAAAATGGGCATTTTTTTGGTCAAGATGTTGAGGAATATCTACAAGATATTACGCTGTACACTTTTGTATAAAAACGCTGATGACATGGCCCAGTAATAAGCAAAACCAATAAAAAGACAACGGTGCAATAACCATTATTACAGAAATTAAATTCAGATTGTTATCATAAACACTAATCTGTTTAATTGGTCGTAACATAATATATAACAATCCATAAAAAACCAACCTCCTTTCTGTATGGTGCCTCCAACATGGCTTCAACATCAAAGTCCTCAGCCATATTTTCTTTGTCCTTCATCAATATATTAGTGATCTGCGGAAGAGATCATTACAGTTAACACAGAAAACCTTAATTTTTACGACTGAATTGCATTTTAATTTTTAACACATAGAATTACAGTTTCGTTCAGTGTTATTTTTTTTTCGAACATAAAATAAGGCGCAGGAAAAATATGTTCAATAGGTACATAATATTTTGTATTAGTTCTGTAATTAAGAATTGTTAGTAGCATTTTTAACCATGGGACACTAATATAATTAACATTGTAAGAACTGTGTACAAATTTCTTGACAATCTTAACAGAATGAACGCCGGATCATTTACAAGACAAGTTTTGATTTGATCATGCATGAAACAAAAATATGAAATGGGATCCTAAACGTTTTTTTGAATACACCACTTCTTTTTTTTTTAAATTCAATTCATGTATATGGGTGCCATATGGAGACACACTCGTCTGAATAACCTTTACACATACAGCAATTTCTGCCCTTCATGGCAAGATATTCTACCGAGACTGACTTCCAATGTTTTCCTTCAACTCCAAGGTTTCTATAAAATGGAGAAACGCAAGAAATATTACAAACTGTAGTATTTTATATAACTAGATGCTAGTGTGCCTCTCGGTTAGTCTTTTTTTTTCTAAAAAAAAAAAAGTAGTAAAACACATTAATTTATTCATGCCATGACTAGGGCATACAAGTCCTGGAAGGGTTACAGTAGATGCGTACACGTCATTAGACTAAATGTTACCAAAAATCAAAATTACATCAACGACAAACACACCATTAGGCACTTACAACTTACGGTTCTTCAACATTTATATGATCGTCTATAAATAAACGAAACCAAACAAACATTCATATAGTATGACCCCCTAGGTTTGAGAAAAAATACATTATCACGTACAATACACACGGATGTTTGCGTAGACTAATTTAATTAAACACTTACAATTAGTTGTAATAAACGCAAGTGTCCGCTAAAATGGGAACAATTATGCAGAAAACGGCGCAACACAGCGACAAATATACACCGAATTTTCAGTTGGCGTGTGTACGGTTGTAGCGGGGAGAACTGAACAGTACGTCCATATTTCACCAAAATTCTAAAGGATTGTTTAACAAATAACTAAAAATGTCACTATAAAACATTGGTACTTACTTAAATGTCAGAACTGTTGTCTTCCGTGGTGATTTTAACTTCAATTTTACTGAATATTCGTGTGTACAATACACGCGAAACACAACCAACAACGTATTTGGCGATGCACTACGGGGTTTACAATATTGAAATGAAAGGGCATGCGAAGCGCCAGCTTCGGACGAGTTTGATAAAACCTTTGTTTGCAGTAGCCGTTTATGGCTACACGGCCAAATGCAGAGAGGTCAAAATGGATTTTTCCATCGAAGGCGGAATGGCACACGTAACACAATATTGCTCACAACATAGAAGTACTATCTAGGTACTGGGGTAAAATATCCAAGAACGATCATTATAGTAAAACTTCAGTGATTCAACTTGGAAGTTTAGGCGTGAAGGTGTCAGTATCTCCTATTGTACGCGTTGCGTCTCACAACAGAAGTAGAACAATTCCAAATGTTCATTCAAGTACACATCCATAGTTTTTAAATAATGTTTTGAACCATGAATTAGTGGGTCTGTCGCGACTGTCGCGAAAAATTGCGCGAACCAAGTCAATCAAATGAAAGGACAATTATAACACTATGGTGAAGACTTTCCTTTTACGACATTGTGAAATTCTTTCGTTTTCTGGGAGAAAAAAAACTGAAAAAGTCATGACAAGATAATTCAGAATTTTATATTAAGAACAATGCACCTTATGCACCCATAAATCATTTTCATAATTACCGATTGAACAAGAATATTACCAGAAAAAAAAATTGCTACATTCTATAAATGTTTGCCTTTTATCTGTCTTGAATCGTGACTGAAAGAAGCTGTGTAAAATTACAAACGATGTAGGGTGTTCGACAACTCATGTAGGAATAATAAATTTAATAAATATAATTTTACTTGGTAAAATACTATATTTTCCTGCATAAAAACAATGTCGAAAACGGAAAGTCTTTATCTCAGTTTTTTATCGAATTCCGTCACTTTTTCAGTCGTAGTAAATTCCGAATGAGTAAAGTCCAGAATAATTCATAGTCGGGATTTGACACCACAGTCTAGAAAAACTCAAACATGTACATTACAAATACACAAACTCGTTAAAACTGCTGAGGTTGTGACGTAAATTCGTTCATTTACATAATGATACTTTGTATGGAACGAGATGCTAAATCATCCGATTTACTGACATCGAGTTACGAAAACATTGAGTTACAAAAATGACCATATTTCAGAAACCACACCACTTTTGTCAAACCAGGCCCAAATTGTAACTTGATGTTCAATTACGGTTAACAGAACCTCGAATCACGGACAACATACATTTTTGTTTTTGTTGAACGTCCACATTTAGCAACTCGAACTTCAGTTTACCGAACATATATTTTTTGTTTTGTGTAATATTCAAAATGTCGTAACTCAATGTGATGATCCAAGGCTGTGACGTAAGTTTAGTCATTTGCATAATGATATTGATACATTATATGTAACATCTCGTGAAAACTTGGGCTCAGTTCCACATCTTAGTTACAAGTGCTCCTTTCCGGTACGTTATTCTCCTCCTGGATTTGGTGACCAATACTTACTTGGGGTACACTCTACGAGAATGATCAGCTCTCAGTTCACACTGGTGTTTTATTATACAATTTTCGATGACCACATTTTTCTTCATAGTACTGATTCCAGATTTCAATAATGGGTTATGATCAACGGGGGGGGGGTCTGAATAATCATTTGGTTTTTATTTACGAAAAAGTGTGGGCTTTCATAAGATATAGACATTGCGATTATTATTTTACTTTCCGAAAACATCTACTACATCCTTAATGGTGGATTCTTCCGGGGCTGGTGGGCTGGTTTGGTTTAGTTCCCCCCTCTACCCCCCACTGAAACTTAATTGATAAATATTGATCATGGCATCGGACTACATTCACCATTGGATACAAATTGATAATCGAACAGTAGTATGGCATAGCAGTTGGTTCTAGGTCTATGCCCTAAAATTGACCCCATTGGACGCACATATTTACACTCGGACCAAACCGTTTTCTCGTCTTGGATGTTTTTTTTTTTTTTTTTTCATTTTCTGTTATTTTTGTCCATGATTGGATAGAAAAAAAAAACGAACGACAAATACTCCATGATTTTTTTACTTTATTAAAAAATAAAATTTTGTATGTATGATGAAAACTTTTTGAGGTCGAACCCCTCCCACCCCAAACTAAAGCAAATAATTTTTTTGTCCGACATCGATCTTTTGACGTTGTCCCTTATACAGAAGTTACGCTTTTTTTCTTTCTTTTGAATTGTAAGCCGGGCTTGTCATATCAAATAAATCAAATCGAGGGAGATATGGGCGCAAAGGCACAAACACTTTATATAATCATAGAAGGTACTAGTACCTTCCATGATATAATGCACGTTGTTTTGAATGTAATCATTGCTAGATCGGGGTATATTTTACATGTAACTCACGATAATTATTATTAACAATTAACAATAAATTGAGATTCAATCACCTTAGGAGTATCAATCATCCAGGCTTTATTTCATTTTTTCTTCAGAATCCCGATGACTCGGGTATTATCTGTTACAAGCTGTCCACATTCGCAGCTAGTCCAGCAATAAAGAATAAAAAAAGTCTATATATACTAATAAACGTGTTAAATCTTTGAAGGAAGAAAAATCTTCTTTTTCTTCTTTGAAAATCCTTTCGTATAGGTAATATAGTTCTTATAAATGATATATTTGGCCGGCGTTATTTACCGCCGGTGGATTTAGATTTCTGTTTGTTCATTTGCTGAACTGATGGTACGTCGCCGTCGACTGTCGATGTTGACGCAGCTTCCTGGCTAGCGGCCGCCGCCTTCGTCTTTGGCTTAGGGTAATAGGGTGCCATACGCACGGTCCAAGGATCGTGTTTGATCTCCTTCAATGTGATGCGCTCCTTGACAGGAGACAACATTCGGCAAATCAAATCCTTACAGTCTTCGGAAACTGTTTTGTTGGCTGGAAACTTGACTCGACACTGAACTTGCTGCATTAGCGTTTTGTGGTTAGAATCGTCAAACGGAAGTTGCCCAAATAGCATGGTGAATAGGATTACCCCCATACTCCAGATGTCGCTGAAATGCGGGTCGTATGGCATTCCTCGTAAAATTTCCGGCGGTGCATACGCATAACTCCCGCAATACGTTTCGCTTAATATTCTCCGACCATCTTTAGGTTTCATGCTCCCTCTCGCAAATCCGAAGTCAGTAATCTTCAGGTTATTGTTTTTATTTAGAAGGAGGTTTTCGCATTTGAGGTCTCGGTGCACAACGCCACGATGGTGACAGTAGTCTATGCCCATACATAACTGATGGAACCAGATTGCTGCCTGGGTCTCTGACACGGCGCCGTGGGACTTAATATAATCCAACAAGTCGCCGTTTTCAGCCATCTCCATGATCAAATAAACCCGACTAGTAGTTTCGATGGACTGCAGAAAACAGATCAAGTTCGGGTGTTTCAGATTCTTGATAACGTCGATTTCCCTTGGAAGAAATTTCACCAGATAGTCTTCTGGAGCTTTTTTTTTGGACACAATTTTCACAGCTACCTTGATCTTGTGTTTAGCGCTATGGGCCCACATAACGTTGGCGTAACTTCCGTGTCCAAGAGTTTTCCCCAACTTGAAACCATGTGATTCTAGCACGGACGCAGCTTTGCCAACCTTTGAACTGGTCCCCGACGTCCTTTCAGTGACTGGCTTCTCCTTCGATTTGGTCGTCATGTTGATATTGCACTCAGGGTAAAATGATAATCACTCTAATCCTATCGAAACCATCATAGTGAAACTTCTCTTCAAGATAGATATATTGTTCATAACACCAGAAGAGATAGATGCTAGTGCACAATAAATTTACAGATGGAATAACACTGGTTGAATATGCAGGCAATTGTTGATTGTTGTGACGTCGCCACCATTATGCTGGTACGCGTCGGCGGTGGAACGCCGTGACGTCACGAGTTTGTGAACACGGCGCTGAGCGCAGCGCGTTTATCTTGTCCACGCTGGCGATATGTTCCTGGCACAGTCAGCTGGCGACCTAATACGGGGTCTAATACATGCAACTATTAAATTTACCGGTGATTGCAATATTTGGCAGTAACGTATGATGTGTGCCAGTTGACTGTAGTTTCCGCCTGTAGAAAAGCTAAAGTTAACTAACTATATACAAAAATGCGAAAGTGAAAAGTAAAATTATTGTGTGTGTGTGTGTGTGTGTAATCGCGTTGCATTGTGTCGGGTATCACATGTATCAGCCAACGAGCAATAAATTGAAATAGTCAATGGTCTGGGACAAAATTTATTTTATGAGCCTTTTGAAGTATGCTAATTAATATAAAAGAAAGAGGGGAAATTAAAAGCTGTTCATAAGCTACCCTCCACCTGAAAAAAATTGTCTTCCCCTCCTGCTGACCAAATTCATCTTTCCCCTGCCCTCATTAAAAACAACTTTTTGTCCTACTCCTCTACCACCAACTTGCCTTTCTTGCCCTCCTGCTGACCAAATTCATCTTTCCCTTTCCCTCTCCTCAGTGGGTGACTCGCATTTTCAGTTATTGATAGCACACGGCTGCTCACATTTAGCATATGTTTTATTATACTCTGCCCTAAAGGCTGTTTTACCCACCCTGTGATATTTATCTCTGTAAGTACCCTGTCCTTGCATTTTTTTTAGAAATCTGCCCTGCCCACTGGGGGGGTACTGATATTTCCCGCCCCCTAAAAAAATAGAAAAAATTTCCTGCCCTCAATAAAAAAACCCTTGAAACAGCTTTTCCGATGAACAGCTCCATTGACTGCACCTGACGTATCCCCATCTCTACGTGCATACAACAGACATGTTTCACTCCAGTTTTTACATCGATTTTCAATCGATTTTTCTCATCCTTCATATAAACATGATATAAACAAATATGTCAAAATGACAATAACATTTTTACTTTTGTGTAGCGCTCTACTTTAATTCTTGTTGTTGTTGTTGTTGCTATTTTTGCATTTTCTATACGTAAGAACAAAAACAACTGATACAATGATCATTAGAACGATTTGTCAACATAAACGAATCAAAGCCTGAATATTAATTATCGTCTTGAAGATATAATACAATCAGATCATTATAAAGAAATGGATTTATATTTGTATTTAAAATAAAAAACTAATTATTCTCGTTTACAGTTGATTGTGCCCATGAATACCACGTGCCCGCCACAATCATCCCGCCCTGCGTTCGCCAATTAACATTATAATACTAAAAAGTAATCTCTTTCCTATATAATGAATTTGAATATACATGTATATTCGATTACTTAAAACTCACAAAATATGATAATTTGTAGTCGTATATGGCGTATGGCGTAAACTTTGGCATGGAGGGTCATTATTTGGTTGGCCGAAAAATCGAAGGATGAATTTCGATAATAATTTTCACTTGTGAAGAAACTAGATGTGTAATATGTGTAATATAAACACGAGTACGTACACATGTTATACTGCATACCTACCTGGCCACAAACGTCGCATGTTTATAACGACTTGCGAACTGACCATGTTGGTCGACTCGGAAACTGTACGATTTGTCCAGTTGATGCCAGTGGGTGTTATATTTGTAAATATAAACTGCCGTATCAGTTCATGAACCCCCCAATAAATGGATTGTATCAAGAGAATGATCTAAATCACATAGTTTTGGGCAAAAAGCTGTGCTTTCACGAAACGAGACCGATCTGCACTCCAATACAATCTGTAAAGTACCAACAAATGTAAGGTTCTAGAATTGTCTCGATTGCACCTGGTTTATTTTATTAGTGAATAATATGGATTGTTATTGGAATAAATTTATTTTTTACTCGATAACACTTTCCTGTGCCCGTCTCAACATTGTTAGAGGGCCAGGTAATAAAATACACCTGCACACGCATGCGACGACAACAACGCATGCTAAGTCGTAGAGGCTCTTGGGTAGGCACTTTACTTGTTTGTAAACAACGACACGGTACACAGTCCCTCTATCCCTGTGCACGGTATTATAATAGCCGTTTGCCCCAAGTGCGCAGATGACGTCTCCCGCTCTAAGAAAAAAAAAACATCCACCAGGAGCAACTTTTCTCATATTGCCAGCACCAGTGTAGTAAACCATAGACCTTAGAATAGTAGGGGATTAAAACTAAGGTTACATGAAAGGAATACCCACAGTTGTATGTCTATGAGTAAATCGACTTCATTTTTGAAACTTTCAACATCTATAATGACACAGTTTCTTATTCGGTTTTGAAAACAATTATATAAACAACTCATTTTAATTTGTATACTTAACTAATTGGCTTTATGCGTAAACGAGCCTTGTTTTTTTACTATGGGTCATATGTGAAATGGGGTACCGGTAATTGTATACTACCTGGCACGTGATAGTCCCCCTAGTTCAGTCTAATTTCTGTAAGTGTTTCTCGTGAGAGACCATCGGAATATTGATAATACAATAGTATAAGGCCAGGTAAACAATCTGAAGAGTTGCCAACTAAACTTGCAAATACCTTAAAATTAGTAATAAACTCATAAACAAGTAGTCCCCATTTGTCTGCAATAAAATACAGTTCAATAGTATTTACTTAAGTTGGGGACGATAATTCTTGATGTCACACAAGAACAAAAATATTGTATAATAGTCCAGTTTGTCATTGACAATCTCGCGTTATCATAAAGAATTGTATTTTTTGTTTTATAAATGTATGACCTTACGATATGCATAGAAAACATACTGATAATGTCGTGTCAATGTTTGTATTTGGCCGCCATATGTTTTGGTAACAATTTGCATTTCATTTGGTGTAGGTTCTACGGTTTAATTTAATTTGGTGTATTTTATATCATACTAATTTAATTTTGGTGTGGGTAATAGTGTTGAAGTTGTCTTGTTTTTTGTAGAGCCTTTTAAACAAATGTTTTACTGTGAAATACCTTAATTTAACTGGAATTAATGTTCGTTGAAAAGAATTTTGGGCGTTTTGTATGGAATTTATTTTCACTGATTTTTGACAAGTTGAATGTAAAATATAGGAAAAAAGGTGTATTCGCTTGATTTTATTTTAACTGAATCATTCCTTCAGCAAAAATAGCGAAAATGAATTCCAATGAAGTGAAAATAAAGTATTTTACAGTATGCCACATTCGCGTGGGCTTTAATTTGTTTATATATTTGTTTGCTATTATATTATATTACAAGCTATTTACTTTACTATCACTTACTCCGATTCACCTTGAACGTGATAGGTAAAAAGAGTCACACGACCCACGCAGACGTCACACATCAAGTACTAGTATCACGTGTTTCCCCAAAGTTCCGACGGACGGCGGAATATAATAGTCACTGAATATAGCGACGTTCCTTTGCGCCTCCAGGGCGAATGACGTTTATGTTGACAGTGATTTCACACATATGACAAGATTGCACATTTAGTCATCCATATAGTGCCCGGGCGGCCGTTAACTACATTATGTTTAATTGCGTAAACACTTCCGACTGTGCACAGGTGTGACGTAAACCAGTAAAAACAAGGAAATTATACATTTTACACGTTGGAATCCGAGCACTATCACATAAGACAACGTGAGAAATAAAGAATTGTTGCGTAAATATTATTATAGTGCTCCAGTCAATATATTATGTATAGTAACCCCGCCCTCCCGACTCAAACCAAGCTGAGTTTTCCGCAAGTGCAATTACAGACAACATCTTTACTGTATTCTCACCGGACTCTTAGTGAAATTCACAAATGAGAACAGAAAACCAAAAATTAGCGAAAACTGTCCATACACACTAATGTAAATTTTATTAAGTTATCTTCAGATTTTTATTAAATTTGTGAGAATCTTACTAGTATTTTACTACTGACAGGGATAGCATAATCGTTCATACATCCACGCAATGGCCATCCGCCGCATTGACAAGACGATTTTACATTGTTTTTATTTTTTGAAATGCTCGTTTAGCATTTTTGAAGAAAGGAGAATTTCAAAAAATACTTAACATGCCTAAAATGCCAAACGTGCAAGCCTTCTCAGTTCAAAGACAGGTCTCAAAAAATGACAAACTGCATTTCAAAAAATGTAAAATCGTCTTGTCATTTGGTGATGTTACAAAAATGTCAAATATGTAAATATTGTAATACATTTTTTTGTCAACATTTTAGTTTTCAAACATGCACTGCACCAAACAGATATTTTTACATACCTATATACAGACACGTTTGATCTAAAAATGCCAAACGAACATGTCTGCTGTTTGCAAAACCTCACAATGGCACGACGAGTCGCACAGTGGGATAAACATATAACTTTACATGTGAGGCTCATGAAACTCTCCGTAAAATCAAACAAGGTCAAGTTCTAAAATCATTATCAAAATTATTTATTCACTCCTAATTTGCCACATAAAAATATTCCTGACCGAAGCTGATACAGCTTATAGCACATACAGTGTTTACCCGCGACTTTTACTCCTCTTTTTCTCAGTGTCAAAGAAAATTACATAAATAGTGATGTCGTCCCTGTGATCACGCACTTCATAATGAGGGAGCGATAAGAAAGCGGAGAGCTTCCCGTGGCTGATGCCTTTCTCGCTGTCACCCAGAGCATGTCGTACGAGATGAGTGGCTACATTGTCGTCGATAGGCCTCGAAGCAAGTCCCGATTTACGGTCTTTCAATTTCGAGTTAATGTCACTGAGTGTAAATCGCGAGGTTGGCCTGACCTTAAACGCCTCCAAAGTTTCCCGCCCGCTAATATGATCACCCACAAGTTGAACAGTTTTCTCCTTAGTCATAAAATCCCACAAACCATCAGTGGCAATTACTAGAAATTTATCCTGGGGAGTGAGGCGATGGTGGATTATTTCAGGAGTAGCAACCAGATATGGGGGTGTGTAATAGTGCCTTGGAATAAGCATTCTTCCATTAGGTAACGCCCTTAGTTGGTTAGCGTGCCATTTGTATTTGACGTCGCCAAACGCTCTGAGTGGGGCTAATTCTGAAAGTAGTCTGTTATTCTTGATGAGAAAGGCACTTTCGTTATGAGGATGCGCTTTTCTGATTCGGTCAATTTCCACTGTGTTATGACCGCTATGACGATGAGAAAGTGCTTTCGGAATCCAGCCTGAATGAGTCATCTCTGCTTTACGTCCGATAATTGCCCGACTATCCCCGACATTTGCTACCCATACGTCAGAACCGTTGATATAAGCGACACATGCGCACGAACCAGACAGTGCAACTTGGGTAGCGTCCTGGTATACTGTCGTACGCCCACCAATCAAAGCTCTTGCTTCGGACGATATATCTTCGTCCAGTCGTTCAAACGCAAGTTCGATGGCCGCATGTAGGTCATCGTCTTCCACATTCATTGCTAGACTGTCATTCACAAATCGACCTAGACTTTTCTTGTATCCCTCGGCATTTTCGACGCTAATATAGTCATCTGGATTCCTGTGCCACTTTAGAAGAGGTATTTCCGTCCGTCTATGCAAAAATGCATCTTGAATTTCAGCCAGCCTGTCGTAGGGAAGAATCGATGTAGCAATATAGTCGAACAGACGTTCGCTGACAGCCTGAGAACAGGCAGTACCAGCATGTCCATCAAATACACCGAAAAGCAATCCACCACTCCGCAAGCATGTCGCTGCCGATCGACGATCTTCAACGGGCCTATTCGCTGCAAGCTGGGTCGTATCGAAGGACGTCACGACGCCACCTTCGTATTTATCCAGATGGACTGTAAACTCTTGTTGCCGCAAGATTGTACTTACTTCAGACGGAGACAACATTGCACATCTTCTACTGGAAGTCGTAAACTGTTTATTAACGCGCCGTACACGGTTAACATCGTAACGATTGTGCAATAAATACCGGAAACTTGAGGGATCACTTTCACCGAGTCGTCTGAACCATCTGCATGCTAGAAGGCGAACACACATTGCTATTCCTCGCTAGTCTTTCAAACCAGCAGTAATGCCTTCAACATTTACGACATTTTCTGAAAATGTCACATAAAAGAAGATACGGCGGCAAGTAAAAATTACCACACGATGTAAGCGTGCGACAAGTAACCTTTCACCCAGGAAGTGTTCAACAATCAGCGAAAATGACTCCCTAGGCTAACAATATTTCCATTCGACAGTTCCTATTATTCTAAACAAAATATCATTCTTTAGATATATAATTATATGTAAACTATTAAACAATTTATATTTTTAAAACAGTGCACACACAACTTTATTCGTCTTTAATAAAGAATTACACGAATATCCGTGTAATGATCCTGGTATTTGACGTCTTCATATTTTATACTTACTTAGGGAGCACACTCTTTTGCGCACATGCGTCCTGGTTCAGTGGTGTTTTGATTGTTTGATTGCGGACCACGGCTCATTTGATCGTGATATCCGTGTTGATAATTTATTGCAAGTTCGGAGAGCTACAATTTCAAGATGAATCACGTTAAACCCACGACGTTACGGACATTATTATCGAGGCTAAGTAACATAACAAACAGGGGCATTGCAAATGCTCCTTCCGCAGTGTCTGGTATGTAGACATTTATAGGTTTCACTCTACTATTATGTTTATTTATGTGATGTTATGGTCTCATACCACTAATTGGAACTCCATAGATGACAATGTTAGCGTTTGGGTGAAAGGGTTACAAAGATCAAAATATTGTTTTAATTTGTTGAAACCACATGTATGTAATAGCATTCTGGCCAGTAAAACTCATGTTTGCGAGCTCAAATTCCTACGGAATAGATGTAAACAGAGCACACAGATTTGTCAGTCTTTCTACTTTCAATCTTCTCAGAAACGTAGCCAGTTTGGAAGTTGCCCAGATCCACAGGTCACCAGTATACAATATACAAAGTGACTCACAGCTGTTGTAATTGCAGTACTTTTTCTGGACTACAAGCATGACGAAAATAACCAAGTCCTGGTCAATTGCAAATTATTCACGTAATAGCTGATTAGCATATGACTCCAGTTTGACCCCAGAGGGGTACAGTCACTTCGCCCGAACTCCTTCGCCTGATTACCAGTTCGCCCAATTACCAGTTCGCCCAATTATCGGTTCGCCCGTTTTCCTTTTTGCCCGATTTACTGATGTTACACAGTAAGCCTACTGCGGGTTTCGATTCGAAATGTACATCTGGTAAAATGCATGAAATCTACCATATGATCACATTTTAGTCGGGGTTTTCTTGCCGATGCAAACACTGCAACTGATGTCCGCCAATGCGGGTAGTCATCCCCCATTCACAATAGAGGGTGGCCGACAGGCAATGGGACAGGTATGCATCGGCCGTCATACACAGATTTTTCACTTGTTTCACCATCGGTGTTTGAATAAAATACTTTCACAGTGGTGTTCGTTGGCAGAATAATTTCAATCCGCGCATTTTATGCAAAGATTGACCATTGAAGGAACCTTTGTACGCCCTCCGGTGTTGGGAACTTGGAACGCTAAGTAGTACCTAAAGCCAACCTCGGCGTTTATCAATCTAATAAAACTCGCAAATCACGACGTCGTTACCGTATTTTTAAAGTTTTAAATACAATTTATATAGTACCAATAATATATTATTTCCTCTTGTTTTACAGTCAGATTTTACAGTCGATTCACGCTAATTTATTTTAAATTTCTACCATACTTTTAAATTGAAATAGAAACACAACATTGTATATAATTAATATACATGGTATTAGGGCCCGATCTACGCTAATTTATTTTAAATTTCGACCATACTTTGAAATTTCGACTTCTACGTTATCTTGTTTTGACTACACGTAAATACCAAACATACGAGGAATCAGGCGAACTGGTAATCGGGCGAAATGGCAATCGGGCGAAATGGTAATCGGGCGAACAGGCAATCGGGCGAAACCGTTCGGGCGAAGTGGTAATTGGGCGAAATGCCCCCAATTCGTCTGTGACAGTGTGCACTAAACTGGCTAAAGTATTAGGGTGCCCCGCGATATACATAGCAGCTGACAGTAGTCACTCCCATTATCTATGTGTGCCTAATTTCGCTGCCTTTTCCCTTTTATCTGCAATTATTAGCACACTTTTATTTTTTCTATTTATTTAATTTTGTACATACATACATATCAGTCATACGTCCTCAAAATTATTATGGCCTTTGTGGGGTCGCTGATATTATTCGTGACTGAGCTTTAACCAAAATAACTAAGAAATGACAGACTGAATCATTCTCTACTATATATATACGTAATAAACATACACCTACTCATATACACTGATACAAATTGTAATTTGCTTACAGCTACAATAAAGATTCATAAGTTATTAACTGAACATTGAGTTACGGGTAACATACAATGTTAAACCAAACAAAAACAAATACAATGTATGTTGATCGTAACTTGAATTTCGGTTAAACTGTTAATTAAAGTTCGGGTTACTAAATGTGGACGTTATACAACAATAACAATTTTGCCCGTAACTCGACGTTAATTGAACACTGAGTTACAATTTGACTTGGTTTTGCAAAATTCGGCGTGGTTTCAAAAAATATGGGTGTGGACATTTTTATAACTCGATGATTTCATAACTCGATGTCTGTAACCGAAGCAATTCAGCATCCCCTTTTAAATATATGAACTTGATATTGCAGACAGATGGGACAAAATACCAATTGAACAGTTATATTTTTAATTTTACAAACGAATATTAGGTGTAAATATAAACACTGAACTTGGTGAATTTCCGTTACTGTAGATATTCAAAAAAATATAGTATCGTATTTAGTGACTCATTTGACAATATTACTACAAAACAAGCTTTTCAAGAACAAAAACAACACAATTAACATTGGTTTTCATCAATCAAAAACATGGTCTCCGACTTTGACACCCAGAAAAAAAAACATGAAATATATATATATATAGTTCTGAAAGTTGAGTGTGACGTGTGACAAATAATTATAAGAAACTAAGACATAGATGAAGTTGAAAGTCTCATACACTTTTGAATCATGTTTGCTCTTATGTAATCTGAAACTCAAAATCAAAGAAAGCTTAGAAAGAACTCCCATGTGCTGAGAGTATTGGAGACACATTAAATATAATTTGAAATTACTTAGCTGAAAACTAATTATGCAAATCAGAAAATTAATATGAAC